GAATGGATTGTAATTCCTCCTGGGCCAAACACGCCCTTGGGTTTTCCAGGACAGGCTGGGAATCCCATTGAGAGTTCCAGTGATGCTCTTGGCACCGAGGGGAGATGAACTGTACTTTCCCTTCATCCCATAAAATGTAAGGGTCATGTCCATGCAGCAGGGGGCTCCCTAATACCAGCGGGAACCTGGCCATGGGGGTGATCACAAACACGTTCCTCCCAGTGATCCCCCATCCCCACCTGCAACGGGACCATCTCAAACTCACATGGCTCCTTCATGTCTTGCAGTCTCACCACCCCCACTTCCAACCCCATTACTAAGGAGGGATTGATGAGGTCCCTCCCACACCCTGAGTCAATAAGGGCTCTCACACGAATGTGAGTTTCTTGGGATGGGTTCATAATAGTTACAGTCATGAAGAACAGGGGGGGTTGCTGCTCACCACTTTTGGCACCTCCGGGATCGGGCTCTGGTGCTCCACGCCACTCACAGCAGGACCTGGCCTTTTCTCGCCGACTCATTGCTTTCGTCTTCACTGGATTCCTCCCTGCTATCTTCTGGGGGGACCTGTAGCGCCTTGGCAAATTTAGGCTTCCCAGCAGGTTTCTTAGCTGGTGTGCCAGGCTGGGCTTTAGCAGGTTTCGCTTGCGCTGGCTTCCCCGGACTCAATCCCCTGCAATCGGCCGTGAAATGGCCCCATTCCCCACACTTTAGGCAGAGCCCTTGTTTCATCCGTTGCCCTCTGGTGGACTCAGCTGGGCATGTAGCTTTCACCTTCAGTTTGGGGGTGGGTTCGGCTTTCTCCCCGCCGCCACAATGTCTAGGCGTAGGGTGTTCAGCTGAGTCTCTGCACTTTCCGCTTCTTGCATCCATGCAGGGAGGGAGATCGGATCTACTGCACGCAGGACTGTTTTGCGGATCTCCGGGTTCAACCCCACCCAGTACAACTCTGCTAAGACTTGATCTGGCATATTTTGGACCTTGACCGCATGCAATTTAAACTCCAATGAGTATTCTCTCACCGACCGCTTCCCTTGCTTCAGGGTGTGTAAGAATGCCCTTGCTTTGGGCCCGGCATTCCAATCCTCGAACTAGGCATGCAACGCCCACATAAAAGCGTCCAGGTTCAGTAGCTCCGGGCCCCGCACATTGTGCAGCCCCACATACCATGTCGCGGCAGCTCCCCGTAGCCGAGCCACAATAACATCCACTCGGCTACTGTCGTCCGGGAACAGGTGGCCCCACCTTTCCACAAATTTCATCACTCTAACCACGTTGCCTCAATCAGATCCTTCGGGGGGTGGTGCAGGGGATCTCTCGGGTTGTCTGGCCGCGGCACCGGGATTGGGTCCTCCCTTGGTCCCAGCCCCGGTACGGCCGGCGGGCCCCACGGTCCTTGGGGCACTGGTTCCGGGGGTACCTGTTGAGGGGGGGAATGGCTTGCAGCACCATCTCTGGGATCACCTGGATTCCTTCCTCAAGTTCCCATCTCAATTGGCATCTCACCGACCGCTTCCCTTGCTTCAGGGTGTGTAAGAATGCCCTTGCTTTGGGCCCGGCATTCCAATCCTCGAACTAGGCATGCAACGCCCACATAAAAGCGTCCAGGTTCAGTAGCTCCGGGCCCCGCACATTGTGCAGCCCCACATACCATGTCGCGGCAGCTCCCCGTAGCCGAGCCACAATAACATCCACTCGGCTACTGTCGTCCGGGAACAGGTGGCCCCACCTTTCCACAAATTTCATCACTCTAACCACGTTGCCTCAATCAGATCCTTCGGGGGGTGGTGCAGGGGATCTCTCGGGTTGTCTGGCCGCGGCACCGGGATTGGGTCCTCCCTTGGTCCCAGCCCCGGTACGGCCGGCGGGCCCCACGGTCCTTGGGGCACTGGTTCCGGGGGTACCTGTTGAGGGGGGGAATGGCTTGCAGCACCATCTCTGGGATCACCTGGATTCCTTCCTCAAGTTCCCATCTCAATTGGCACCTGTCCCGCTCCACCACCTCCAGGTGATGGGCCAATTCCAGTCCCTCGACCGGGGAGGTGTGCCCACTTCGCGTCTTGGATCGGTCTGTCACCCAGGCGGCGGTTCCAGGACTCCCCCAAGCAAGGGGAAGCCCCCTGCAGATGCAAATCCAACATCAAACCATCTGTCCCACTGGGGCCCCTCCATGAGCACGTACATCTCTGCCGTTGAGTCCGGGTTAAATTGGCCCCACCTTAACGAGCTTGGTCGATACCCCTGCCCGGGTGGTTGCCTCGGTCCGCAGGGGGTCAGGAAAAGGTGGGTTGAGGTCATCTTAGGTACAGTTCCAGGCCCCAGTTCCTTCCTCAGGGTAGTCACCGGTGGTGTAGTAGTCACTGGTACCTTGGTACTAGCTCTTATATCTAAGGCACCTGGTCCAATTCTAGCATTGAAGTCACCACCAAGTATAAGATGTGAATTGGGAAACTGGGAAGTTAAGACTTCTATGGAGGTTTCCAGGGAGTCCCAAAGACTTCCGTTAGGCTTATACTTGAAGTTATTTGGTGGTGCATACATATTAATACATATAAGATTACCAAAATTAAGACCTTTGATTAGTATGGTTTGAAAATTACTTGGACAACTATTTTCCAGTACTTGTAGTTCAACATCCAGATCTACTGTTATGAAAATTGCCAAACCTCCAGAACCCCGGCCTTTTGAATGGATTTTAACTGCGGGGACTTGTAAAGACCTGTAACCCTTAATAGAGAGCTGTTCTAGATCCTGACTCCAAGTTTCCTGAAGAAAAATTATATGATAACCTTGCAGGAAATCTAAAAAATCAGGGTCATGAAGCTTATTTCGCCACTCCCCCCAGATTCCAGGACAGAAACTTTAGTTGTCAAACTTCTTGTTCTATCTTATTTAAATTATCCTCAGGGTCTAAGAATATACAGCCATTTGCAGGTAGCCCACCAGTAGTCCTTTGTCCACCTGTTGGCTTACAAGGAAGCCGTCCCTGACTATCTCTAGGATTTCCCTCCAGTTGTCTAGGGGTTGCTGGATTCCCGTGCCATTTGATCCTCTCTCCATAATGATGAACTGAGCCTCTCTAAGAGAGGAGCAGTTTCCTTTTCCTGGGAGCCCTGGCAATCTTTGGGCCGGGTAAACTCCCACTCTTGTATTTCTGCATCTAACAGTTCTTGGGCCAGAGATTTATTTTCCCTTTCAGCCTGAGCCGTGTTGCCAGAGTGAATACCAAACAGGACTCGTGAGTCCCAATCAAAGTCAGCCCTGTTGTTCGGAACAGAGGGTAACACTGAGGAGTGATTAAGGGTTGAAACCTCTGTGTGGATTTTTCCTATTTTGCCATCGTGGGGTGCTTCCAGTTCACTGCCCCATCTCTCTATGGTTGTATTAGGTACCACATTATCAATTTCTGTGGCAAAGGGCAGTCTTTGAGATGTCTCGTTTTCTTTAGCTTTCCAAAGTTCAGTTTTTAGCCAGTCCAATCTTGATATAATGTCTGTTTGTTCCTGTTCAGGCATTTTTGGAAAGGATTTGATTAAGTCCCCTTCTACTGAATTTTCCAAATAAGAGCAGCCTCTGTTGTTATCAATGTCCATAGATGTTCCAGTTGAGTTACTTTTAAAGTGCATGTCATCACTTGGAGACTCTTAATTTTAAAAACACAGTCTGCTACCTGGTTTAAGTAATTTAAGACTGATCATTTTAGATCACCTTATCTGGTTAATATAGATAATATAGATAATCATAACCTTAGAGCAGCTTTTACATCTTTGCGCTTTGAATCAATGCCTACGGCCGTGTTGGTCGGCCGTTATAGTAGAACACCCAAGGCACAGCGTTTATGTATCTGTGGCTCTTCTGCTATTGAGGATCTCTCCCATTACATTTTTGATTGCTCATTGTACTCCCAGCCTAGGTCAAAAATTTTATCTGGTATTTTATCAGTTTTAAGCTTTTATTCAGTCCCAGAGAAGATTATATTTTTGCTAGCCGATGCTAATGCCGATGTTTCCAATAGAATGGCTTTATTTGCCTTGGCTGCAAGGAAAATACGGGCCAACGCTGCTCCTAGCTAATACTGATTTTAGTGGGTATGTTGTGAATTAATTAACTGTTCATAACCTCGGTTTTATGGATTTAGAATGTTGGACTGTATCTTATTTTATACAATTTTTACATTTTATTGTGTTCTTCTCTGTCTGTGGTTTGTAATGGCCTATGGCTAAATACAATAAAATCTTCTCTCTCTGGTACCTTGGTCTGGGTGGTAGGTGTTTCTACCCCAGTCGTTGTTGGAGGTTTCTCCTCTTCATCGCTCATATCGGGTAGAATGTCAGGTTCCACAGCCAAACAAAGGAGTACATGCTTATCATAAGGTTATACTTTATTGTAAGAGCTATAGAGGCAGTAACATCGTCACTGTTAGGAATGGCTACTTTCCGACTTCCGGTATGGCGCGTTAGCGGGCAGGCGGGGGCGCGAGGTGCTCCGTCCCTGCCCGAGCCACTTTTACTTTGTTCGGACCCCCCTGCTTGTCTGGGGGGCGAGACCGGCACCCGGGTGATGGGAGCTGGTGCAGGGGGCGTTTTTTTCCGGCCCCCCCGCTCTCGGCAAGGCGGGGGGTGTCCGGTTACAGCCCCGACGCCGAAGTAATTGAAAGGGAAAACATGGCTACCAGCCATGTTTTTACGAAACGCGACCATCCGCTTTGTTTTTAACTTCAAGACCGAAGAAAAATAGAATTACAACACGGAGGAAAGAAAGGACCGAGACAGAAAGGCTGAAGGCTGAAGAAATGATAAGAGACCCCAATTTAAAACGATGTCCAAAAAGGTAAAGTAAAGCGGCCGGAACTTAAACGGGACTTAATGGCAGACGGAGAAATGCACGGGGGAGAGAAAAGATGTGCTGGCGTTTATGGACGGGCTTAGTTATGCGACCCACGTTTAAGAGACATACATTTTGGATTTAGAACTTAAAAGTGCTGGTTTTGTTGTTCCGAAATGGAGAATACGGAGCACATAATTGGTAATGGAGAGGAACGTGATAAAGAGACGGAAACAGCTGAGATGGATTGGGAACAGTTCCTTAAAGCTATAGAGGAGGCGGTGACAAGAGGCTGCGAAGAAGGCTGTAAAAAAGCATGTGCTCAAATAAGAAAGGAATTTATGACACAGACAGAAACGCACGATCAATGTGCAGGAGAGAAAGAATTAAAAGAACCAGAAGAGGTGCAATTGAAGAGCAGCGATTGCAAAAAAAAAGAGAAGCTGAGTGAAGGTATAGACTCTAAAAGCCTGCCAAGGGACACAATATGTACTGTGGAATATCTCAGTGACTTCAAATCTGGATTATCAAAAGACTATGGACAAGATTTCAGTCCCGTACAAAAGAAGAATAAAAGAAGACCCAGAAGAAGAAAACGGAGGGCTTGGAAATTTAAAAAGGAAAGTAGATTTTGGGATATGGAGGGACTAGTGATTGAAGGGGGAAAAGATGGAAGGCAAAGTTTGATTAAAGGGCGCAGGCATAGAGATAAATTGAGGCAGTTAAGTAGATTGCAAATGTTTAAAAGAAACAATAAGCTATATGAGGGAAAAGCTTAGAAAAAAAAATTAATGTTTTGAAATTGAAATAATTAAAACCCAAGATTAATTAAATTAAACTAAAATTAGACGAAATGCATTTATGATAAATTATGATGACTTAATGGGGAAAGGGTTGGGTTTGGATGAAGTGCTAATCATGTGATAATTATGAGAAAAATTGAGAAAAGTGATTTAATGTATTTAATTATGAACACAAAAGTATTGGTGTTAGTGGATATAGGGGAATCATGTGAAAGGATGTTTTGAATGGATGGGGTGATGATATTTGTTGGCTGAGGGTAAAACTTTTCTAGTAATAATGTTTGATTTGTTGATGTTTGGTTTACAAAATTTATTTGTGTTAAAAGAATCTGGTACTTTAGATGTAGAGTGAGCTAAGCTAGAGAAGCCTTGATTGTGTGTAATCGAAAAGATATTCTATAAGGAACCAGAATAATGTATATCCGAGCAGAAAATTAAGGAAATGACATAGTGGTGAAAAGGTGGGGAAAACAGAAATTTATATATAAAAAATAAAAAAGAGAGGAAAAAGTATGTATAAAATTATAAATTAAAGCCCATATATGGATTGCAGAAAACTGTTTATGAGGTATGAGAGGGTATTTGTACAATTATGAAAGATACACAACGCTGATAAGAGTTTGTGGAATGTAATATTTCCTAGAAAGATATATTGGTCCAAAATGGAAAGAATGAAGGGGAAAAAGGGAAGAGTTCAAAATGAAATGAAATCTTAAGAATCTGTTATTCTGTGTTGTTAAGAAAAGTACATGTTGTACAAGAAGTTTGTATATATGAAATCTGTGTAAATCTATATGCTATTGGCTTTCTAAATGAAATAAATAAATTATAAACCGCAAAAAAAAAAAGGAATGGCTACTTTCCTACAAGCATAATGGGATATAGGATATTCGGACACACACACACACCACTCCTAGGCCAATCAGCCTGACTCCCACACACGGGAGAATGGGGCCCCAGGCCGTTAAAGCCAAAGCTGGGAATCTAAACCTATCCCACAGGAAATTGATGGCAAGACACTACAGAGGCAGCTAGCAAGGTCATAGATAAACAAGGACGAAGGAATGCGGCAGCAGTTGGTACACAGGTCAAGCAGATGCACCCTTGCCCATACACATCATAGCTGACAGATAGACCTCAACTCTTCCTGGGCTAGGCAAACACGAGGCACTTCGGCAGCAGGTTGGGGTTCCCACTGCTGGTCCCAGAGGTGCAAGCTACATTGGGGGGGGGAATGAATTGCACCTTCCCCTTGTCCCACAAAATGTAGGGGTCGTGCCCGTGTAGCCATGGGCTTCCCAACATTAGTGGGAACCTTGCCGTGGGGGCAATTACAAACAAACGTTCCTCCCAGTGCTCTCCCGCCTCCAACCGCAATGGCACAGTCTTGAACTCACAAGGTTCTTTCATCGAAGACCCATCCATTTGAGTAAAAATCAGGGGTTCGGGTAACTGCACCACCGCGGCTTCCAACCCTGCGACCAGGGATGGATTAATGAGGTCCCTCCCGCACCCTGAGTCAATGAGTCCCCTTACTCTGATGTGGGTCCCCAAGGCTGGGTTTAGGAGAGTCACAGTCAATCACTTTAGCACACACTTCCAAGAAGGTTATATTTTATTGTGAGAACTATGGTAGCAGAAACATATTCACTGTTAGGAATAACTAATACTAAGCAAGCAGGTATAGATATAGTATATTCGAAAGCGCGCCCCCCCCCATCAATGGACCAACTGGTCATTCTCCCATGGGAGGGTCGAGCCGTTGGAGTGCAGGCGAGGAAACAAAACTAGTCCCACAGTTAATGGATGGGAAGAGACACCACACAAGCAAGCTACAAGGTCAGCGATAAGGAGTAGAGGCGCCGAGGGGAATGGAATGCAGGCTTGGCTGGTACACAGGTCAAGCGAACTAACTGAGACCCATAAACCTTATGGCAGCCTAGCTGACAATAGCATTTCCAGAAGCAAACCCAAATCATTTTCCCTCTCAATCTTACTGCACTGTATACCCTCTCTGACATACAGACCCACCCCACCTCCAACCCTTCCCCCCCATCCTTACGATATAATTTATAACTGGGAATCACCATATCCCACTGATCTTCCGTATCCCACCAGGTTTTTGAAATACCCACAATGTCTCTGCTTCTGGCAAGGTGCCGTTTAACCCTTTGGTTTTGCTGTCCCTTCTGAAAGCAGGGAGCAAAACCAAAGGGTTAAATGAAGCCCCTTTCCAGGTGATTCCCCCACTCCCCTCTCCAAGCTGTGGCCAGGGGAAAGGGGGAAAGGAAGTCCTTTCCTGGGCCATCCCCAGGAGAAAACTGGAAGGGAATTCCCTTCTAGGGTGGTCCCCACAGCTGAAGAAAGGGAGAACCGAACTTGCCAGACCAGTTTGGTTCGGATGGGGCACATTTGGGTTGGTTCCGTTCATGGGCTACCCCAAACTAAATAGCCCTTTTTAGGTTCATGCCCATCCCTACTCCCCAGGGAGATTCATCTGTCTTCCACCAGCAGGTGAAGGCTTATTTTTTATTCTGTTTGCTGCATCTTCAATGACTGTTCCTGGCCTTCTCCCTGTTTTCATTGCTATGTTGCTACAGTTATTGAACTGTACATATAATTTATCTTAAAGGTTTTTAATGTTGAAATGTTTTATGTTTGGGGACTCATTTGAAAGGCAGCATGGAAATGTTTTAAATAAATAAATAAATAAATAAGCAAGCTGTTTAAACTCATCCTGCCAGACCACTTTGAAATAGTTTGTACTGGAATTCATGGCACATGTTTGTTGATCTTAGTGTGATACATCTGGAAAGTCAGTGTGGTCTGTGTTAAGCAACAGCTGAACAAACTGGACTAAAACACATCTGTAATACTACAATTTAAATTGTTGAATTTTTACCACATGGCTTTAATTTTAAGAAAGCAACAGAGAACAGTGTGGTATAGTAAAAACCACAACTCCATGATAATAGCCAATAAGTCTCTGCATATTTGATTTAAACATATGCCAAAACTTCGGTGATGTATGTCAAAACTGGATTCCCACTGAAATGCCTGCAGGGAAATGCAAGATTACCTGAGTGATCCATGCTGTAGCCCTTCGAGATCGAGTTTTACACTGCTGGAAAGAAAAGCACAGCAGACTCTAGTAAATCCGAAGACCTTCTTTGTCTTGCCAGCACAGCTGTCTGCAAATCCAGGGACACACGTCTGTTAGATGTGGGTTTTACTTTCAAACTTTGTTCTTCAAAAGGTGACTAAAGCTGCACACTTGGTCAAGTTTGGTGTAGTGGTTAGGAGCACTGACTCTAATCTGGGAGAACCAGGTTTGATTCACCACTCCTCCACATGCAGCTGCTGTCGTGACCTTGGAGGTCAGTCATAAGTTCTTTCAGACCTGTTCTCTCAAGGACAGTTCTGAAAAGAGCTCTCTCAGCCCCACCTGCCTCACAGGCAATGTACCCTCTAAACTGAGTTAGGGTGAGCTAGCTGACAGTTTTTAACCTCCAGCTCACACATTTTTGTCTTAGCTCAGGAAGGATGGCTCCAGAACAAAATAGTTTATGCAATAGCTAAATTGTTCACCCACAACTTCAATGCCAGTAACTCACAAAGTAGAATTTTTGCTCACAAGACTCCACAGCTTAGAGGGACCATTGCTCACAGGGTGTCTTTTGTGGGGAGGGGAAGGGAAAGGGATTGTAAGCTGCTCTGAGACTCCTTCAGGTAGTGAAGTAAAGGTTCCCTTGCTCGAAAGCCAGTCGAATCCGACTCTCTGTTTCCAAGCCGAAGAGCCAGCGCTGTCCGAAGACGTTTCTGTGGTCATGTGGCTGGCATGACTAAACACCAAGGCGCACGGAACACTGTTACCTTCCCACCGAAGTGGTACCTATTTATCTACTTGCAATTTCTTGCTTTCAAACTGCTCAGTTGGCAGGAGCTGGAACTAGAGATGGGAGCTCACTCCGTCATGCGGCACACTCAGGTCTCGAACTGCTGAACTACTGACCTTCCACAGCCTGCAGTTCAGCGTCTTAACCACTTGAGCCACCGCAGCTACCCAGGTAGTGAAGGGTATAAATCCAATCTCCTCCTCCTCCTTCTCCTCCTCCTCTTCTTCTTCACTGCAAATTCTCATTCATCCTTTATTTGCCACAAAGAAGAGCCCTTACAGAGGTTCTGGTGATATAAAAATGTGTTGACCTGTTACAGTGTGTTCCTATTCAGAGTTACTCCAATCTAAGCCCATTCATTTCCATGGGCTCAGACTGGAGTAACAGTATTGTGCTGTTAATCAGTTAGATTTTTAAATTAGAGAGCCTTACATTTAGAACTGTTTCCAGTAAAGCTCATTCTCAAGTAAATGTATGTGTGTTCAGTGCCAACCAGTGGGGGGGGGCGCTTGGAAGAAAATGGCTACCTGAAACTTCTACTCCATAGACTCCCTCTCCTCTATCAATTTTACAGTCAACCACAGGATAGTTATCCCTGACCAGTTTATGGAGAAAGACATCGGAATAGATCCTCAACTCACAGCTGCAAAAAAACCCGAAGGTACAAGCTAAATTAAACTCAATATCGGGCCCCTTCCTAACAGGCCAGCGCCGATCTGTATCTGCTAAAATGGTGCCGACTGAAACGGGAGCGGGGAAGGAGGGCATCCCAATCACAATGTCGGAACTCTCGACCGCATTAAATAAAATTGAAAAAACGATGTTAGATAGCATTGCAAACATGCTGAAGCCAATGTA